CCCCAAAACCCCAAAACCCCAAAACCCCAAAACCCCATCGATCTATATGTGCAATTAATTAAAGAAACCCAATGAAAATAATACAATAAATTTGCAATTAATAAAACATCAGGAGTTATTAAAGCTTGAAATACAGGAGCATTAAAGCATCGCAGTATCTCAGTTTGTATTTTCATCATCTAATAAGTCATCATCACCGCCTTGGGCTGCCTTTCCAGAGATGTGCAATTGACCATCATCACCAATCTCAACCTTCTCTTCTTCCGAGGCATATAAGATTTTAAGTATGTTTTCTGTGAGTGGATTAGCATGACTAGGATTAGCTTAGAGAAGCATTTCAATGTCTCTTAATTTGCCAAAGTAAAAATCTCTTTCTTTCTCAAGAGTATCCATGTTTAATTTCATTTCAGATATTTCGGATTACAAAGCCTTCACATCGGAAGTGCTAGCAGCACCTGCTGCATTAACCTTTGACTTAAGTCCAGCTCCTACTGATGATGTTACTGATTGTTTCACTGCTGAACCTGCTGGCTTTGATGTGCCTAATGCTTTTGCCCCAGATGACTTTACTGTGTTTGAGCCCTAAGCTTAACCTACCTTGCCTCCACCTAGAATGTAGAACAAATCTTATCCCTTTCTTCTGCCAACTGCATCGTATGGTTCTCCGTTATAGTTGATATCAAAGTATCTTTTCATCCATTGCAATAATTCTAGATTGTCCTAATACTTTGCCTTAATAAGCTTGTCAACATCAATATATCTCTTGATCTCATTCTTGGCGAAAGCTTGTTAAAGTAATTTGAAGTTCTCAACAAATTCATAGTCATGCTTGGCTCCCCATTTGACCTTTGACATTTACACAGAGTTAGGGAAGATAGCATCAATAATCTAGCAATGGACTGCTCCAGTTGCACACTGTTCTACCTTGGTTAAATTAAGTTGGAAAGTATCGTTAACCCAGGACAAGAGCTCTCCTCTTCCTACGAAGAAAGCACCTTCCATCATACCAATATTATCACCTGACATTTCTATTACTAATTCAAAATTATAACTTTGAAATTTAATTGATATCTTACTATCATTAACTATTTCTTCATAGGGGTTTTGGGGTTTTGGGGTTTTGGGGTTTTGGGGTTTTGGGG